CTCCTCCTCCTCCTCCTCCTCCACCTCCTCCTCCTCCTCCTCCTCCTCCTCCTCCTCCTCTTCCTCTTTCTTCCTGCTCCCCCTCCTTGCCTTCGCTCTCCGCATGTCTCTGTTTCGGTGCAGCGCTCACACGTTTCGTGGCCCCATAAAGGGGGTTCCACCTAAGGTCCCAGTGGCGCAGCCCGCATGGCGGCGCCGCCCCATTGTGACACACCCCCCACACGTTTCATGGCCCCATAGGGAGCTCCACCTGAAGTCCCAGTGGCGCAGCCCGCATGGCGGCGCCGCCCCATTTTGGTACACCCCTCACGCGCTTCGTGGCCCAATAGGGAGCTCCATATTAGGTCCCAATGGCGCCGCCCGCATGGCGGCGCCGCTCCATTTTGGTACACCCCTCACGCGTTTCGTGGCCCCATAGGGAGCTCCACCTGAGGTCCCACTGGCGCAGCCCGCATGGAGGCGCCGCCCCAGTGTGACACACCCCTCACACGTTTTCGTGGCCCCATAGGGAGCCCCACCTGAAGTCCCAGTGGCGCAGCCCGCATGGCGGCGCCGCCCGATTTTGGCACACCCTTCACGCGCTTCGTGGCCCCATAGGGAGCTCCACCCAAGGTCCCAGTGGCGCAGCCCGCATGGCGGCGCCGCCCCATTTTGGCACACCCCTCACACGTTTTCGTGGCCCCATAGGGAACCCCATCTAGGGTCCCAGTGGCGCAGCCCGCATGGCGGCGCCGCCCCATTCTGACACACCCCTCACACTTGTTGTGGCCCCATGGGGAGCTCCACCCAAGGACCCAGCGGCGCTGCCCGCATGGCGGCGCCGCCTATTTTGGCACGCCCCTCACACGTTTCGTGGCCCCTCACAAGTTTTGGAAATCGTCTCTCCGTCTCGTGGACTCTCGCCCTGGGCCGTCGGCTGTCCAGCGCGCTGCCCCCTCGGCCGACGTCGCCCAGCCGTGATCCTGGGCTGCGGCCGCCACGAGGTGGGAAACGGCAAAAAGGAGGACGACGACTGGCGGCTGGAGCTCTACGCGCTGCTCCCACGCGCCACGCGCCACGAGGACCTCCTGCCCACGCGGGCGCCGCGCATCGAGTTCTTTCTGGCAGTGCCGCCAGAGGGGTTGCGGAAGCAGCGGGAGCAGTTCGCTACGCGCATGAAGCGACGGAGGCGACGGCCCTCGCCAAGGAGCTGGGCTTCATCGAATTTGTCCGCGAGGCTTGACTTGAAAAGCGACCCGCCCGAGCCTCGCCGTCTCTCGACGGTCTGACTGTTTGGCTTCGCGCCGCGGGCAACCCGCGCGCGTCGCTGGGGCGCTCTCGGGGCGACCAGCGCGCGTCGCGGGAATTCCGCGCTGCGCTCTGCCCAGAGCCTCGCTCGCCCCCGTCGTCTTTCTGCCCGGCGGCCACAGCCCTGCCCGCTATCAGCCAGCCAGCTCTCTCTGCTCCGCGCAGCGGACGACCCGCGCGCGTCGCCGGGAACCTTTCGGGGCGTTTGGCGTGCGTCGCGGGGGGCCCGTGTGGCGCCGCGCCCGCAGCCTCGGACATGGGCGCGCAGGGGCAAAGAGAGAGAGAGAGAGAGAGAAAACAAACAAAAAAACAACAAAAAAAAACGAGAAACAACACAAAACGGGAAGGAAACGGGCGCGATCCTCGGGAGGAGCGCGCCGACATGGGCGTCGACGCTTATGCGCGTGGACTGATTCGCGCGCAGACTCATTCACAATCAGACTCACTCGCGCTCAATCTCTCGCACGCAGACCTGTCGTCTTCGCTCGCGTCGCGTGCCCCGCCACGCATCTCGGCGCGCCCCATCGCACGGTTCGTGGCCCCAAAGGGAGCGCGGGCAAATATGAGATTCAGAAGTGCGGTATTCACAACTGCGCGTGGTTGGGTCCTTCGCCAGGATAATTTGATATGTTTGGCTATGTTTTCAGCTTTCGCCCAAAATCCGCCTGTAGGAGGACATGCCCGACCTAAGCATAGGAGGCACCGCGCGAAGCAAGGCGCCCGCGGCCGCCGATCGAAAAGAGACCCCGCCCCGCCCGGCTGCGACAACCGGCGAACGGCCAGGAGGGACGGCGACCCCTCACCCGGAGCGGCCAGGCGGGGAAGGGAAGCGCCCGATCTGGGCCCCCTATCAGGGGCCGCAAAGCGGAGCCCGAGGCAGCATCGTGGGCCGAGGCCACGCGAACCGGGCGACCTCTGGGGGGTGCACTTCCTGCGCCCCGAAGGCCAGAGGCGGGGGGCGCGCGCCTGACCGCGACCCTACGAAAGCCACGATGCCCAGGCGGGCAACTGGACCGAGGCGAATCCGTGTCAGAAGAGAGAGAAGTGGGGCGGAGGCGGAGGGCAAAAGGGCCCCCCAACTCCGACTCCTCCATCCCGAGCGCAGTTCTCTTCGCGCCGTTGACATTGTGCCTGTGGACAGGCGCGCGCCAGCGGAAAGCGCCTCGGAACCAGCATTGATATGTGCGCCCGCGAGAGTGGTCGCTGTCGCGGCGGCTGAGGCTCCCGGGAGGCGAGCGCAGACGCTTTGGGCAGCAGCACCTCGAACGTCCGAGGCGCGAGCTCGCCCTGCGCCGCGGAGCAAGGCGTGGCGCATCAGCGTGTGAGTGCCTCCTCCTACTCCTCTCCTCAGATGAGCCTCCTGCTCCTCCGCCCCAGAGGCAAGGGGGGGGAGAAGGCGGAAGAGGAGGGAGAGGAGTTGTGAGCCGTCGATGGCGAGGTGGGCGCAAAAGGACCACCTACCCGAAGGGTCGGGGCGACCCGAGGGTCGACTCACAGCCATAAGCGCGAAGGGCCCGAGAGCCCACAGCTCCTCGAGCCAGCCCCGCGGGCTGGAGATACCTGAGCGCGGCAGGACGTGGTAAGGGCCGCTGCCTGCCCCGTCCGCCGAAGCGCAAGCAGCAGACGGGGCGAGCAAGGCCCAAAGCCTCGACAGGCAAGGGTCCGCGAGGCCCGCCTGCCCGGACGACCGCCGCCTGATACGGGCGGTCGGCCCCCACGTGGGCTCAAGACCGACGGGGCACAAGGGCAGCGCGAAAGGCCGAAGACCCGAAAACAAAGACCGCCGCGCGGGTGAAGGAAAACCTGCTCGGCAAAGACACCGCAAGCCCGTGGCGCCCCAGCCGCGCGCGCGCGCGGCGGGGAGGAGCGGGGGGCAAGCGGGGCAAGCTTCAGGCCGAGAACCTGCAGGGACAGCTGGGGCGCAGCGAGGACAATTATCCCAGTGCGATCCTACCTAGGAGTTGGAACCCCTAGGAAAGCAGCATTAGTAGTAACAGTAACGCTAAGCGAAAGCTAAGCTAAAGCTAAGCTAAAGCTAAGCTAAAGCTAAGCTAAAGCTAAGCCACAGCTAAGCTAAAGCTAAGCTAAAGCTAAGCTAAAGCTAAGCTAAAGCTAAGCTAAAGCTAAGCTAAAGCTGAGCCACAGCTAAGCTAAATCTTAGCTAAAGCTGAGCAACACCTAAGCTAAAGCTAAGCTACAGCTAAGCTAAAGCTAAGCTAAAGCTAAGCTAAAGCTAAGCTAAAGCTAAGCTAAAGCGAAGCTAAAGCGAAGCTAAAGCTAAGCTAAAGCTAAGCTAAAGCTACGCTAAAGCTAAGCTAAAGCTAAGCTAAAGCTAAGCTAAAGCTAAGCTAAAGCTAAGCTACAGCTAAGCTCAAGCTAAGCTAAAGCTAAGCTAAAGCTAAGCTAAACGCTAAGCTAAACGCTAAGCGAACAGCTAAGCGAAACGCTAAGCGAAACGCTAAGCTAAAGCCAAGCTACAGCTAAGCTAAAGCTAAGCTAAAGCTAAAGCTAAAGCTAAAGCTAAAGCTCCAGGGGGACTGGGGGGAACCGCGGGGCGGGGACTGGGGGAACCGCCCGGGGCGCTTTGCACTGCCCAGCCCCTTTAAGCTAAGAGAGTAAGAACCCTTCTAGGCAGAGCCTAGGTAGGGAATAAGAGAACCATCACCATCACCACCGTCATCATCAGCATCATCATCACCAACAACTGCATCATCATCAGCACCATCACCATCACCATCACCAGCATCACCAGCATCACCTGCATCATCATCATCATCATCATCATCGTCATCACCACCAACAGCATCATACCATCATCAGCAACATCAACATCACCATCACCATGCACATGATGATAATGATCATCATCACTATCACCACCACAACCACCATCACCAGCATCATCAGCATGATCGTCATCAGCAGCATCTTCATCATCACCATCATCACCACAGCCCCTATCATCATCGGAAGCAGCCGCATTAGCATCATCATTGTCAACATCACAATCACCATCGTATTCACCAGCATCACCACCATCATCAGCAACAACATCATCATCACCAGGAGCAGCATCATCACCAGGAGCATCAGCAGCATCATCATCACCACCAGCATCAACACCACCAACATCAGCATCATCATCATCAACAGCATGATCACCATAATCAGTATCAGGATCATCATCATCATCATCATCATCATCATCACCATCATCATCATCATCATCATCATCATCATCATCATCACCAACACCATCACCATCTTCACCATCATCACGATCATAATCATCATCGCAATCATCACAATCGTCATCACCAGCACCACCACAAACACCATCATCACCACCACCATCATCATCAACAGCATCGCCCTCGTTGTCCTCGTCGCCCTCGCCATCGACGCTGTCGTCACAATCGTCGTTGTCGTCGTTGCCGCAGCCGCCGCCGCCGCTGTCGTCGCCGCCGCCGTTGTCGTCCGACCTCTCCTGCTTCTCCTCGTCGCCCTCGACGGCGCCCTCGTCCGCGCCATCGCCGCCGTCGCCGTTGTCCTCGCCGTCGCCGCCGTCGTCGTGGTCGTGACCGTGATCGTGATCGTGGTCTTGGTCGTTGTCGTCGTGGTCGTGTCGTGGTCGTCATCGTCGGCGTCGTCGTCGACGCCGCCATCGTCACTCGCCCTCGCCGACCATAGGGGGAGGCGGGGCGCTCGGCGGCCTCTCGCTGAGCTTCTGGTCGACGTCGGATGTGGCCTCTCCGGGCGTCGCAACCCCCACCGCGCGCTCGGGGTCGCGGGGGTGGGAGGTGGAGATCGAAAAGACGATGGGGGGGGGAGAGGTGTTGGATTTGGACTCCGCTCGAGGTTTTCGATAAGGACGCCCCGAAGCGAGGAGGATGAGGAAGAGGAGGAGGAGGAGGAGATCGAGAAGAGGACGAGGGGAGGAGGGAGGGGTGGATCTTGGCTCTGGTCTCCGCTCTGGAGCCTCGACAGGGACGCCCCGAGGCGAGGAGGAGGAGGCCTGAGGCGGAGGAGCAGGAGGAATTAAGAGAGCGCGGGAAGGAGGCGCAGCGAACAGCACGGTAGCACCGCAGCTGATGGGTGAAAACCTCTGTCATAATGCTGCTTCCTTACTTGCACCGCGTACTGGAACATATCCAATCCAACGTCTCTGTCTACCTCTTGCTGCCCATTCATTGTCATTGCTATTGCACGCCATGCGGCCTAACCAATCACTGATCTTCCCAGATCAAGTTGGTAGCGGAGCGGGCTCTGCCCTCCGCGGCATCCGCCTTTGGGTTTCACAAGCGCAGTCATGGTTTTCAGTATGGATCGAAAGGGCAAGGGTTGCGGGCCACCAGCTGGAGTGGTGTCTCCCTCCCCTTACTCACGAGCTTTCGGTGTGAACCACAACACCCTTCCCCATACTTGGCCCTAAGATGCTCAGGGTGGCCCCAGCTTGGGGGCCCAGACATGGAAGCAGTATCCTTCTGCGTTGGGTCAAAGATGTCACGACGTGGAATTTCGGTTCGGAAGTGCCCTCACGAAAGCAAGCACATCAAGCGGTTTAGTCTCTCACGGGCACCGCCAGAGCCCATGGCCCAAGAGCTAAACCAAGATTATCTGACCAAGATTGACCGTCACAAATATCGGGATGGTGTAGGTCCTCGGAACGTTTCTGGGCTTGGTGTTCTTATCCACAGGTTGTCAAACGAGTACGGCGGAAGCGACCTCGAACACAACATCCGAACAATCAGGGAAATACTGTCGTTCACACGCTTGCGTTGGAGAGCTGTGGATGAGCAATTCTTCGTCCCGACATCATGACGTATAGTGCTGACGGGGTTGGGTTTGACATGACACCCCCTGGGAAAAGTCTGTGGCTGTTGCTAGCTGTGCGAGTTCCTGCGCACGTGTGGCCCCAGCTGTTCTTGCAAACTCAGACTGGGGGGTTCCTACCACAAGATGATGATGCGCACAAGCGTCCACGACAAATCCTAAAAAGAACAATGCATTTCTTGGACACTAGCCCCAACAATGTTTCCATGCGAATGCAGCAAAGTCCCGTGGCCACCCAAGGTACGACATATATGCACGATTAGAACCGTCGCGCGCGCTTCGCGTGCGTTCAAGTTCTAGCTAGGGTCATGCACATTGTCATCATTGTCATCCTGATCCCCGTCAAGTTCATCGTCATCGTCATGCTCATGGTTACCTTCACCATCACCATCACAACAATCATCAATGCCACCATTATCATCAACATCGTGACCACCATCGCCATTATCGTCATCGTACTTTTCAACATCATCATCCGCATCATCAACATCTTGCTGGTCGTCGTCGGCGGTCGTTGGCATAATCATCGTCGTCGTCATCAGCGTCATCGCCGTCATCATCCCCGGTCCACTGCAATTCCCTTCTCCTCCTCCTCCCGTTCTCCCTCTTCCCATAATTCCATACTCATCCTTTTCCTCGTCGGCGTCTCCCTGAAAGACATTCCTGTTCCTTCACCTCTTTCTCTTTCTCCTCCTTCTGCTCCTCCTCCCTGTCTTCTTCACCTCCTTCCTCCTCTCGAGCCCTCTTCATCCTGCGCTTCCCTTCCCTCCTCGTCCTCAGCATCCCTCCCCGAGCCAGAGAATCAGAGAACAAGATAACCTTACAAGAACAATGTCCCTCCTCCTCTTCCCCCTCTTTGTCCTTCTGATCTTCCTCCCCCTCCTCCTACTCCTCCTCCCCCTCCTCCTCCTCCTCCTCCTGCTCCTGCTCCTCCTGCTCCTCCTCCTCCTCCGCCTCTCCGGTGGCTGCTGGGGTCTCGGAACCTGCAGGGAGCCTCTTGGAGGCAATTGTGAATCTTGCAGGGGTCTCTTGGGGGCCGTTTGGGAGCCTCTTGGGGGCAAACAAAAGCTCCAAGGAGGCTCCAGGGACGCTCCGGGAGCCGAGGGGGCACTTCATGTACCCTGGGTGCCCCTGGTATGCTGGTGCCCCCTTGGTACCCTGGGTACCCTGGGTGCCCCTGGGGCCTGGTTTCCGGAATATAAAAGATTCACCCCAAGGACCCCGCACTGCCACAGGGGAATGGGGACAACCACTATGACAAATATGACCAATCACCTCTGACCCCCCCGTAATGATGGGATCCGGGGTAACGTCAAATGAGATGGGAACCCAGTCGGGCAATCCCGGGTCGTGAAAAATGCGGCTCGACTTCTGCATGCTCGTATTTTGATGAACCCCCACTTCGACACAGAGACACTACATCGGATTACGAAAACGAATTTCAACAACAATTTGCTGGTTTAGCGCCACAATACGGGCATGCAAAAAGAGCGGAGGATTTAACAACAACTTGCATATATAACCTCATGCCCGTGAGAATAAACACTAGGGGATAATAAAGTTCGGGGTTCAGGGAGAGATAATAAAAGTAGCCCAGCAGACCTCAGCATAATCTCGAAGTAAGAGATGATCAAGAGGAGACCAAGCCGAGCACGTTTTGAGACATCCTTGGCGTTTAGTCTTCATAGAAATATCCTCAACAATGGCTTATCTCGCTGGAGACATCCTCGACAAATCCCTTGTTTCGCTTGAGACATCCACAAACTATTGCTTATTTCGCTTGAGACACCGTCAAACTATTGCTTATTTCGCTTAAGAAAGGCGGAGAAATGGAGAAAGCGATATACAAAAACAAAAATAAAAAGAAACAATAAGAAATGAAAAAGAAAAAGGAAAAACATCAAAAAGAAAAGAAAATAGAGGAGGAGGAGAAAGAGAAGGAAAAATCTCAAGTTCAAATGTATTAGATTTTATTTACAAACGCTTTATGAACATTGAAATGTTTAAGTGCTCGTGTAGGGTAGCTCATGTGCTTCATTTTCCATGGATAGTCAACCCCAGGGATAAACAAGTTCAGAGGGGGGGGGCATGGAGAGAGAGAGAGAGAGAGAGAGAGAAAAAAAGAGAGAGAGAGAGAGAGAAAGATAGATACATCATACAGAAAGAGAAAGGAAGGACTTAGAGAGAGAGAGAAGATATAGTTAAAAAGAAAAGTATGATAAGAAATGAAAAAGGATAAAGAGAAGAGGAAAGGAGGATAAGACAAAACATCTGAATATTCAAATGTATTAAATTTTATTTACATGCGCTTTATGAAAATTAAAATTTTTAAGTGCTCGTGTAGGGTAGCTCACGTGCCTCGTTTTCCCTGGAGAATCAACCCCAGCGATAAACAAGTTCAGGGCGCCAGGGGGAGGAGGAGGAGAAAGAGATAGAGAGACAGAGAGAGAGAGACAGAGAGGCCAGGAAGGAGAAAGAGATAGAGAGACAGAGAGAGAGAGAGAAAGAGAGACAGAGAAATAAATAAAGAAAGAGAGACAGAAAGAACTACAAAGAGACAGAAAGACATTGGTTTCGCTTGAGACATCCTGAAACAACGTGTTCGCTTCGCTTGATGTTGTTATCTCAACATAAGAAGGAAGTAACTTCGATGGCGAACTTTTCCCGTGATAATGAAGTTCGGCCTCCGCGCCCCCGCGCCCCCGACCAAACTCTTATTGGCCGACGATAATCAACTCTAAACACTGAAGGGGGGGGTCCCTTTATTATCATCGGCATGCGGTTATATATATATATATATATATATATATCACCGTCGCAAATTCCGGAAATTCATGGGTAATCGCAAATAGGGGAACTCGTTTCGGGGCACGGCGAGCATTCCGAAAACATCGGGGCAGATTGGAACACGATGTTTGTGCAAATACTGTTGTAGTTTTAGACGGCAGCGTTGAAGAACAACTGGTAGCTTTCAGGGGACCGAACATAAAAAATTGGCGCAATAATTATCCCAAACAGAGCCCAATCAGAACAGACGGTAACATTATGAAATGCTCACCGTGCGAGTCCGAGAATCATTTTCGAAATAAGGGAGCGCCTCCGGCACCTTCTGGAAGGATGTTTGTCCAATCGATCGATCATGCTTCATTCGTTGGGACGTCATCAGCAGAGCACAATTTTGAACATGTGTTTGAGCATTTTGCCCAGCGCACGCAGCACACGCACGCGCAAGCACATTCGTACTCATTGTGCGATGATGTCGAGTCTGGTGTTGGTGGAGCACTGCACGCAGACAACAACTCCACAATGCCGACGCCCAGGAGCTCTTCCGTCGCTGGCGCAGCAACCTCGCCCAAGAGGGAAATGAACGAGAGGACCAGAACACTGTCAGCAAAAGTGCGCGGAGCATCCCGAGAGATCTCTGGAGAGCGCAACGCCTATTCCAGAGATCTGTCCCATGGATGCTGGCAGACCATGACGACGCCGAACAAGCAACATACAACGTACGTCTCCGAACCCGTTTGACCTCGGGGGGGATAGGTCTTCTTGTGGACCCTCGGGCGCGTGCTAATTTGTGCGGGTGCGGCTTGGTCAAGACATTGACAGCCGTTGCTTGGTAGTTTAGCTTGGAAAACGTTTCTACCCCCTCTCAAGCCAATTGGGGTCAAAGGGGTAGGAACTGGGGCACGAGCAGTAGCTGATGCAGTCGAGGCGCCAATTTGCATGGACGCGGACTCACAGCGCATGCACCGACCCCTGCGTTCCTAATTCGCCATGTAGGTTTGAAGACTTTGGAGCGCCAGGATAGTGTTTTGGATTGTAGGCCAAGTAACTGGAAACTCTACATGGGACACACAAAGATTGAGCGACTGCCAGATTGTAGGGTCCACGAGCTCGAGAAAGCCCCCTCTGATT